CTTCAATTCTCGAAGTTTAGCTAGCGCCATACGATGTGGTGCTATAGAAATTGGTGAAGTCCCAGGTTGAAGCTTGATCGTGAAATCTACGTCTCGTTTTGGGGGTAATCCTGGTAATTTGTCAGGGAAAACGTCAACGTACTCGCATACCACATGGGGTAATCCTGGATCCTTTCGATTTTCGTCTTCCAAAATTAAGCTTGCCAACCATCCAGTTAGTTGATCATGCCACCGTGACTTGCGACACGTTAGAGTTAAAGAATCTTGTCTATCTCCTTTAAATTGAACTTTCGTGCCATTAAGGGAGGATACTGTCACCGTCTTACGGTAACAATCAATAATGACTCGATGAACTGACAACCAATCTATTCCTAGGATGACGTCAAAATCAGACGTCTCCATAACTCTTAGATCACAGATCAAATATGAACCGGAGATTTCTAGTTCACAAGATTTACATACTAGATTTACTCGAGTTTGACCTCCTAAGGGTGAAGTAACACTCATAGCCATCTCTAACATTTTTGGCTCCAAACCCAAACTTGACACGCATACAGAGGATATAAAAGAATGCGAAGCTCCGGAATCAAACAATACTTTAATCCAAGAATTCATAAAGATTAACATACCTTGAATTACTGATGGGTTACCAACATTTTCTTCTTCTTCTTCTTAGAGAGGATACATTCTTCCTACTGCCTGTTGGTTAGTCCCTCCTGGTTTCTTTCTAGTTCTAGCTCCTTGTGGTTGTATTCTTGGCCGGCCTGCATTCTTAGAGGCTTGTGGCTGCCCTTTGTTGATCTGAGTATTTTGAGTAGGCATAGAACCTTGCCCTGGCTGGCATTTGTTGTATTGTTGTGCCCCTCGCTGATCCATAAAATACTCCTCACCTTGAGAACACTCACTTCGACGATGTCCCTGCTGACCACATCTGAAACATTTTCCTTTCCACTCATTTGCAAAGTTTCCTCCTTGCTGGTTTTCTTGATTCTACCTTTGTTGCTGCTGTAACCCTCTGGCATAAGGTGCTGGTGCAAGATGGGTTCAGGTGCTGCGGACCGAACCTTTTCCTTGTGATTGGTTATTGTTCCATGATCGCTGATTTCGAATGCGTTCGAAATCCGCTAATTCTCGTTTCACAATTCAAGCTCGATCCACCATTTGAGCATGGGTGGAAAGTTGCACTACAATCAATCTTCCTTTAATGTCTGTGTCCAAACCCTATTCAAATCGTCTAACTTGATCTTCTTCATTTGCTACTATGGCTGAAGCGTACCGTGAGAAAGCTTCAAAACAGTTCACATATTGAGTAACTGATATTTTTCCTTGTTTCAGTTGGAGGAACTCCTGAATCATTTCTTATTTTAGCGAGTTAGGAAAATACTTTTCCATGAATAAGTCTTCGAATTGTCTCCAAGTTAATGTTTCTACTTGTCTAGTACTTCTGATCATTTCCCACCAATGATCTGCTTCCCCTTCCATTTGAAATGCTGTCATGGTCACTCTATGTTGCTCATTTCGGATGTCAGAAGTATCTAGAAATTTTTTAATTTGTCTTAACCAAGCTTTAGCTTCATAGGGGTTTGATCCACTAAGGAATTTGTAGGGATGTAGCTTTTCAAATTTTGTTATCATTTCAGATTTGTTTTGATCTTGGTTTCGGGGTGGTATATTGCCTACCCTATCAGCAATTGCGCGTATAATTTGAGCGACATCGCCATCGCCATCAGACACTATCACCATTATCGTTGTTATTATTTCTTGTTCGTCCAGCCATTCTGCATGATGCGATTTTTAGTAATTTGTGATTTATTCATTTATTTATTATCATTATTATTATTATTATTATATATTACTATATTTATGTACAAGGATAGTAATAAAAAGAAGAAGAAGAAGAAACTTCATTAATTAGATTACATAAGCTACAATTAGCAAAATACAAATAAAACAAAAGAAAAAAAGATAAAATAAAATAAAATACTATGGGCAAAAGATAGCCCCTATAATCCAAGTTAACTCCTACACCCACAATTCTAAACTAGGCAATTTTACATGTAAGCATACAAAACAATTGATTAGCCTAGTTGTAATTCCCTTAAGATCGCTAAAACAGCCAAGGAAAGTCTCCCCTCATCAGGGCTTCCAGCTCCTACGTGGCTTGGAAAAGCCCCATGAATCGCCACGCACTCTCATGAAGACAACAGTTTCCTACACACAATGCCCTAGCAGCTGCACCAGCTCCTCCCGATAGATCCTGCAGCCCTTGAAGTCCACTGACCCGTCTCTCTTCACAATTCTGTTTGGGTCGGGCATGATATACTGAAGGCTCCAAATGTCAAAAAGGTTGCCTATCCTGTCGGTGAAACCATCCTAGAAAGGGCCTAGCTGATATAACCAAGGAGTCTCTTGCCTCAAAATTTGGATAGGTCCAATGTAGGCACCCATCTAACTCTCAGATTTCCAAGCACAACCTCCTAGGGGATAAATTCTAACATATACAAATGACCCAATTTGCAGCCCAATTCGAACATCCCAATTCTCAAACACGGCCCCTATATCTCTAGTGCTCTCATCAATATTGCCCTCTATAGATTCCACTTCGGTGTCAGACTCAATCACAATTATCTCCAGTGGGTTGTACATTGGTGCAATCTCTTCGGGTTCGGGTTCAGGTTCAGGTTCAAGCTCAGGCTCAGGCTCAGACTCGTAGTCTTCTATTGGTGCAATTTCAGGGTCAGATTCTCTGTCATAGTTTCCCACTGAACTTTCCTCATTTGAGTTAATATCTGATGACCCTGGCATCCTACAATTAAAAAGGTTCTAACTTGGTTAAGTCACGAAAAATTACAAGTTAACGTAAGGTTTTCTTAAACATAAAAAAAAATATAATGGCTACCCATGGCCCAAAGGTTCAAATCTAAGCTCTGATACCAAACTGTGACGGCCCAAATTTCTTTTTTTGGAACATCATAAAATTTAAATAACAAATAACTTGCTAATAAAATTTTAACAACTAATTAGAGAAATTTAAATTCTCACATACCCAAAATTTAACAATAAAACAAAATTATGAATCCACATACAATATTACAACAACTTTATAACATTCTTAATTACTAAAACAAAAGATAATAAAATTTTATTTTGCTATATTCTTGATTTCAAGTTAGCCATGGTTCTATATTAGCAGCGGCTCCAATTTCGGCTTCAGTTCTTTCCTCGTCATAATCTAGCATAAAACGCCAGGGCAAGAAAATATATGCCATGAGTTTTGCAACACAGTAAGAAAACATAACCAACCTACCATTTTTTTTAAGAGAAAATAATCAGATAATAATTATGACAATTAAGAGCAAATGACGGAATTAATAGCATGATGATATAACAACAATTTAAAATAATTTCAACAAATTTTATTAGTTTAGGTGACACTCAAAATCTCACCAAAGAGATTTTCTTACCAACTGCTAAGTCATGGCAACGGTTAATTTAGAAACCCCCCATTGGTCAAATATTCAAGAACTACCAAGGATGCCCACACCCAGAGTTATATACCCAAGTCGTGGCATCCATGGTCTACCCTAAGGAAACAGTCTGCTAAGGGTATGTAACCTCCCTGGATGCCACTCGCACATCCATTGTTATCCCAAAACCAAATACCGATAAGGGTTCAAATAAGTCCTGTGCCATCTTAGGGTTTCGCGACACAATTAACGTGAGAATTCTTAAAACCAGGACTCACCCTGAACAACCGGTATTAACCCTCAATTGTTAACTTTGTATATGCCGTTAATCATTTCAATTAGTTTTTATATTAATTACAAATAATTCAAATTTTTAATCACAAATAATGTTATGTCAAGTCATTAAAATTCCCAACATAAAATATTACACATGTCATGCAATAATAAATAAATATAAAAAATTTAAATAAACAATTTATTTAAACCATGGTATGAAATAATAATTTAGATACAAAGAAAATAAACCATAACAACACACAAGGATGGAACCAAGAATTCATTTGCGGGGGGGCCAACACATAAATAAATTTTTTTATATGAATTGATATAAATTACTATTTTTTTGAATTCAAAAAGTAAACTAAAATTTAATATTAAATTAGTACGTAAAAAATAAAACCATATATTTAGTAAATTTAATATATGAATAAAAGCAAAGTCATGTATTAAAAAATTATTTATACAAATCAACTCAATCATCTATCAAAGTGGAACTCGACGTTCTTTCATATCTCGAAAGTCTTTAATGATTGACTGTGTGATAAAATTTTCAGCAATTTCCTTTTCAATGTACACAAGCAAAGAGTCTGTAAGAAATTCATCTTCCATTTTGTTGCGAAGTCGACTTTCGACAATTTTCATGGCTAAAAATGATCGCTCCGTAGTTGCAGTAGAAACTGGAAGAGTAAGAACAAGTGTAATCACTCTATAAACAAGTTAATAGATCGTAGATTTGTTTGTCCTTAGCAACCATTGACACAATTTAGAAATAGTAAACAATTTTTTGTAATCTGCATGCCAAACTACATTATGCTCGTAATGGTGAAGTTGCATTCTCAACTGTATTTTGTCTTAATCTCTGAAGTCTTGCAGATAAAAATTTTCTACTAACTAACAAATATCGTCGATTCTAAAAGTTTCAGACACATCTTGAAGATCTAGAGCTGAGCTAAGATTAAGTAACTCTACTGCATGTTCACTGAACTGTCCATTTAATTCTTGTAGATAAGAATCTATTGCAGCATAAAAAATATCTACTTGATAATAATGCTCAACTGTAAAGTCATCTTGATGATCATGAGCTCGACCTCTTCTCCTAATATAATGAGCATTCATATTCGAGACATCTATATTACGTACCTCGCAAAATGATTGCACATTGGCTACTAAAGCATCCTATTTGTCTTCTCTAAACTTTTGCAGAAGTGCCTTGGTAGATGAAACTAGATTCATAGCATTTAAGATGTCTTGAGATCAGCATTGCAAAGCTTGACAAAGTAAATTAGTGATCTCCAACATTTCTTTCATGAGATGCAAAATAAAGACAAATTCAAATGAAGTCAATGTTTCATAAGCTGAGTCTGCGTTTCCTCGTTGGGCAAAAGTTGTTCCTTCATTAATGATGTCAAGAAGAACTTCACATGTTGGTCTGAATATTTTTATTAAGCTTGAAACTGACTTGAAGTGAGAACTCCAATGAATATCTCTAGCTCGTTGTAAAGTGCCAATCTGGTTAAGTCCCTTTCCAGTCTCGAGCTCATCAATGTCAATCATATGTTCAATTTCAGTAGCTTGCGCAACTTTCAATTCATCATTGCACTTGCATGAGGCACCAACAATATTGACAATAAAAGTCAATTTAGGAAAAAATTTATCAATTGGGATAACATCTTTCGATGCTGCCACTAAAGCCAACTGCAAACGATATGCAAAACAATAAATATAATAAGCATATAGACAATCATTCAAAACTAATACTTGTAATCCTTTCCACTTATCTCGCATATTGCTTGCACCATCGTATCTTTGTCCTCGAATATTCTGAATATCTAAATTGTGATGAGACAATACAGAATATATTCCATTTTTTAGGGTTGATGCAACAGTGTTAGAGACATGAATAAGCCCAAAAAAACGCTCTCTCACAAAACCATCTTTGTCAACGAATCTCAAAACTATAGCCATTTGTTCATTCTTTGACTCATCACAAGCTTCATCAACAATTATGCAATACTTTGCATCACCAATTTCTTAACGAACTGCATTCTTCACTTTGGTTGAAAAAATATGTAAAATTTCTTTTTGAATCTTTGGTGATGTGTAAGAGGCATTTTTCAGAGCTATATCCAATACTTTAGCAACATTATCATTATATGATTCCAACAATTTCACTATTTGAAGAAAATTTCCACGATTGATTGAATTTGGCCTTTCATCAGGACCTCTAAAAACACAACCTTGAAATGCAAGCAATCGGATTGTATCAATTGAGACCTTCAATCTTAGTCGATTATCTACAATTTGTTCAGAAGTGAAATTGTCCAATACCTTTTGTATATATTGAAATTGATTCATCAAGTCTTCACATGATCTCTCGGCAACATTGTGAAAAGAATTAGGATCTTTTCCTATACGATTTAAAAAAGCACATTTTGCTCCATCCCTAACTTTCTTCCAATTCTAAAATCCATCAACAGTGAATGCTTGCTGCCCATAATATCCAGATCCACATGGTTTATAAAAAAGAAACCATGGTAAACAAAAAGCTGCATCTTTTGCAGGTGAATATTCCAACCATGACAGAAATAGTTTGAACCATGACAGTTGAAAGCTACGAAGATGAGTTGTTGATCCAAATTTCGAATACTTTGAAAGTATAAGTTGGTATGGACCAGCCTTAATATAAGCTCGTCAAATTTCATCACGTTGATTAACATGATAATCCCAAATCTGTATACGTAATCCAGGATCTCGCTCCAATGAACCAATATCAATTTCTTTAACATCAATTTTTTGAGATTTTGTGGGAGGATTTTCAGGGATATCAACATTGGAAGTTGGCAATGATGTATTGTCAGCAACTTCTGAGGAACTTGCATTTTTTCTTTTAAAAAATCTATCAATTGTACATGGCTTTCCCATAATAATCTACAAATCAAAATAGAATTCATTACATACATGGTTAATATTCTATTAGAAATTAGAACCAATTGCTAATGTAAAATATATATATATATATATATATATCACAGGACATAGAAATTTTTTGTGCCTAGAATAACAAATGTAATTAAAACAAATTTCATATAAATTTAAAAAATCGGAATTCAGATTTAACACATAAATTTTATACAAGTCTCAATTCATTTTAATTTTGGATTTATAACACTTAATCTGAATAAAATTAAATTTGCCCAAATATGATTAAAAAAACCCCTAGTAATTGAAATCATACGTCCTAATTCATGATTTTTTTTCTTAATATGTAAAATTAAAAAAAAATTGCAATAGTATCAACATGACATTAAAAAAAAGATAATAAAAGTGTTACAAATTGAAAACAACAATAAAAGAGAATATGAATCACATACCTGTAATAATGAGAAGATTAATAGCAGAAGCAAGACTTTTTTTTTTTTTTTTATGTATCCCAGATTTAACTCAAAAAAAAATCCTGTGGTTGCTTTCAATAAATTGAGATGACGTCACGGCGTAGAGCAGGTCATAAGAATTAGGTTTTCTTTCTTTCTTCTTTTTGTCTTTTTCTATTTCTATTCAGGCTTTCTTTTCTTTTTTAAAAAAAAAAAAAAAAGACACATGGCTCTAGCCATCTAATGAATAGATTAAGCCTAGCCCACAAAACAAAGCAGGGGCCATTTTACTATATTATTAATACTTTATTGAAAAGATATATATATTAGTAAAAAAAAAATTAAGTAGGGGGCCGTGGCCCTTGACAGTCTCTTCGTCAGTCCGTCCCTGATCACACACATGCATGGATTTTTCATTTATTAGACTAGCACAATATTAAATAAAGCACAATACACCCATACATGGATTACTAATTTACAATATTTAATGAATTAGACCAACACAATAATTAATTTTTATCCAAATAATTAATTGAAGTAATGATCTTAAACTTGTTTAGAAATTTTCAGGTTATGCCTTAGATAAAAATTATAAATAAATAATTTATACAATTCTAAAATTCGTGAAAAAGAACAGAATATTCAATAAAGATGTTTAGGTCATTTTTCAGAAATAATTTCCCAAAAATAAGTTATAAATAATTAAATAAAATTCCCAGAAATTTTATGACACAGATTTTTCACATTTTCTTAAATTAGTTCGATATTTAAATTCATAAATCAATTCCATAATCTAAAAATTTATTATGAAACTAAACTTCTTAAATTTCATAGTTTAGTTAGAAATTACCAGATTTGTCTAAATATAGAATTTTTAGTAAATTTTCAAACATATAGTAAAATCTATCTTACACAGATTTAATTAAAATTTTATATAAATTCGTACAAAGCTCAATAATTGTTGCAAAAATTCCTGGATGAACTAGACATCATTTTCAACAACTTTGTAGAAGAAATAATCTTCAAATTGTGAGTATAAAATTGTCTAAAAATTCGTACAAATTGTCTGACAGATTTAAGGGCCAAATAAAATCTTCAATAATTTTTTGAATGGCATAAACTATACATGCAAGTCCAAATTCCACAATATTATCAAGATTTTAAGACTACCAATATCTTCAAATACTTGATATACAGATCATAAATTTACATACAACTATAAATAAAATTCTATTTACAAGTTTAGTCATTTTATCATATGAATATAATCTGAAAATTTCAATATTTAAAAAAAAAATGAGAGGCTTGAGAGGGTTTTCTTACTTAGTTATAGGATTGAAATGGGATAGTGAAATGGTAGGAAAATATGCAACATTCTTAACCTCCTCCTCTCATTCTCTTACTCCACTTCGTAGATTTTCTTTTGCAAATTTCCTTTTCTTCCCTCCTTCATCGAATGCAAGCATGCGTTTATATATATACAATGCATTGCTGAGCCACCCTCTCTCTCTCTCTCTCTCTCTCTCTCTCTCTCTCTCTCTCTCTCTCATCATTCTCTCTAGTCACTTTGTATCTTCCAATTCCAAGAAGTATGATGAAGTTATGGTTTCTATAGTAACATGCAAACAAACAAGTAGCAATGTTGCCATCAAAAAAATCTGCCAAAGTTTAATTTTTTTTTTTTTAATATTTGTATGGGTTTCTTAAAATTGATATACGAAGATTTTTAACTAAGGTATTCAGTAAGAATAATTATCATGTTGAATTCTTATTAAAATAATTTATAAACAACAAATATTGAACATCCACAAAAAAAATTATTATTCTTAATAATATCTTTATTAGTGATTGAATTGGGTTAATTTAAAACTAACTTATACACTAATATATTTCAAATAGACTCTGGATAAAATTAATTAATTAATTTATTTATTTATTTATTTTCTTTTAAGAATAATTAAATGCGGGTTTTTACAAGTATGTTTGGAATGACTTTTTGATTTTTTATGAAAAGATGTGCAAAAAGTAGAGAGAAAATGGAATCTTTGACTTTTTGGTATAGGTTATATAAACTTTATGGTTTTTTCAGTAATTTTTTGACTTTTAGGCTAAAACAAGCACTTGTCAAATGAGGCCTAAGTTCCATGGAATTCATCAATGAACACCTCTCTTTTTATGAAAAAAACAAAACAAACCTTGGTGTTTGTCAATGTGTAGTTCGTTGATCAATCAATCACTTTCTATACATCAAGGAAACTCATATACAAATACTCTCCACTATAGAACATTTTATATTTTTCTCCTCTCTGAGAATCTGGATGGGTTCAACCCTAAAAATACCAAACAAAGCACTTCATACAGAGCTGTGCAAACTGCTCAAGCGGTATGAGAAAAGGCAGTGCTTACATATAGGTCAACCGCTCAAGTGGAATATCTACCGCTCAAGCGGTAAAACATCTTTCCCAAAAGTTCAAACCACAAATAGAGATACTAGATGAACCAATTCACCACTCGAGCTGTCAAACAACTTTGACTTCTTCTTGGCTTCGGGGGTACTGCCCCTCAACCTTGCCTAAACGCTGGCCCCCTCGACCCCTGCGAGTTTACCAGGCAGTTCGATATCCTTACTTAATCAATGAAGTGGCAACAAGAATGCTTAGGTCAAGATACGAAATGCCAGCATAAACTCCTCTATACAGGTAAAACTCGGGTTGAATTCGTATCTAAACTCTCATAACTCACAGATACAATGGAGCGAATAAAAATACAACTGAAAAGAGTTTTGTCCAACGAGATTGTCAACAACAAAGACCTAACAAGAATTGGTTGTAATATTGTCATGAGAACACTACTACAAAAACAGTTAAAGATCACACTTTGACAAATGAAAATGTCTTGTTTTTATTGGAAGTATGATAAAAAAAAATTAGATTGATATTTTAATCACACTTGATTTGATTGAGTGTGATAATATTGATTTTTTATATCACTTTTCAATTAAGTGTGATTATATATATATATATATATATATTAATCACACCTTCTAATTAACATGTGATTAAATATCACATAAGAAGAATTAAAAATATCTTACTTTTATTAGAATTGTGATTAAAATAAATAAATGATTTTTTAATCACACTTAATTTTATGAGTGAGATAACATTTTTTAAATCACATGTTTTAAATAAGTGTTATTATATATATTTATTTTAATCACAATTCCATGTGTGCTTGTATATAATTTTTCAATGTTGTTTTTATATCTTTATAATATAATAAAATCATTTTTGAAAATGTTTTAGAGAGATAATTGATTGGAACGGCTCATACCATTTCAAATGAAAAATTAACGAATGAGATCATTCGGAAAAATTATGAGTGGACCAAAATCACAACTCCTTCCTCCTTTCCTTTTCCTTCTTTATGTCGCAGAAACTCTCTCTCTCTCTCTCTCTCTCTCTCTCTCTCTCTCACGCATAGCCTCCACCACCATCTCCTTCTCTTCCCTGACACCAAACATCTTTTGCCACCAACGCTGCCCCTCTCTTTCGTGCAACCCTTCGCAATCCTTCATACTCTCACAACTTCGGGTCTTATCACCATTGTTGCCTTGAGGAAGAACTGCAGATCTAATTTTGTAAGTTTCTGACTTCAAAATTTTAATAGTTTCTTCTAGTTTTTGTCTTATGTTGTAACGCCCTCTAAATAGCAACATTAAACCCATCGGATAAGACATGCATTTACATAGAAGCTAACCACATTCTTTTATTCATTAAAGTTCCATTACATAAGTATTACATGTTAACATCAAAACAAAATGCCCTACGGGCTTACAGCTTTCCAAGTTAACACTTGGTTACAACAAAAGAGTACTAACTCGTTTACACATTAAGCCCTTGGCTTGAAGTTACATGTAATACATCAAAAGTAAAACAACTACACTAAAGGGGAAATAGGAGAAGGAAGAGAGGACGCCAGAGATGGCTTCGCCGACCGAATGGGAAGCCGCGATCTGGTCACATCAGAGAATGGGAAGGGATAGAAGAAGAAGAGAGGAGAATGGGTCGTCTGCCGGTGGGTGTGGCATTCTCTCTCTCTCTCTCTCTCTCTCTCTCTCTCTCTCTCTCTA